GGAACATAGAACTTGTGCGACGAGGATGAGTAGTCTGGCTTTGGACCGAGAAGATGTATGTACCCTCGCCTTCAAATGACCAGAAATTGTGCAAATGCAGAAATTGACGTGGCATTGGCACACGTGGCTAAATTCTTGACGAAAAGATGACGTTACGTGTGCTCAAAGATGTTCTTTCGATGCCACGTTAATGCCACGTCAATTGCTGCAATTGCACAATTTCTGGTCGTTTGAAGGCGAGGGTACATACAACGTGTCAATTCGCGTCACTTGTGATCTCACGCCTTCATTTCCGCCCACTCCTACCATCCCCGTTCCGATTGTACAGTTGTACAAGCCATTCGAGTATTCTAAAAGTTCAACAATTCTAAAAGAAAGTCTACACACGCACACAACGAAATGCTACATCCCTGAGCACTAACTATGGACTTTAAAGTGGTCGGGGGGATGTCTCCGTAAAAACTAATTTCATGAGGAAGCATGGCGGATCTGCAATTGCAAGAAGGCACGAGTGAGCTCTACTCAGAATTCAAAAGTGGGGCTGCGCACTACCAAATCTGGTGGCGTTTCTAGGCTCCTCACTTGCTTCGAAAGTTCTGAATGAAACAATTGGTCGGTCCGTTTCAATAAGAGAGGGGTTCAGTGAAGACTAAAAAGTTCACCCCACAGTTTTGCGATTCTCGGCGTATATCTACACTGTTACTACTTGTAGGCAAGCCCCAGGATGAGGCTCACTGGTAGGAACCACTCCATGAGTATACTTGTTAGGTTCGTACCTACAGAGGTCGTGCCAACTTTGCCGCACAAAATGTGCCGTTAAGGCGCCAATCATTAAGGGCGTGCAACCATCGCAACGATTCCCAACCCAAGGTGAATAACGGTCGAGGAATTCCTCGACCATGGCTCTGTACTGTGCGAGAGTAGTGCCGAGAGTGAATGTACGCGCGGAGAGCACAGACGGCTCGCGGGTGGCGAGAGTGAATGTCCGCGCGCGAGAACGTAAAGGATCAGGCGAAAATCCTCGACGTGCATA